TCATACATTCTCTGCTGTTGTAGTCATACATTATTCAATATAGGACATGAAATACTGTGTTTGCTGGTCTAAACCATTCCGACTGTCTCTTCAGTTCCTCCATGTCTTCATCAATGCGCACATGTCACGCAGTATGCCGGGAGTGTGCGGGTGCATATTTGTTTGTGTGGGTTTATTTCTCTACATCCGTCTCCGCTCCTTAGTCAGTGAGCTGAAGGATACTGCTGAAGTCAACTCGGGTTGTATACACACAGGACAACACAAACACATACACACACAGATACAGTATAAGACTTGTCACATCCTGACATGGCCCATTAATAGGAGGGCCAATTCAATTTCTCCACTTCCGCTGTGGCAGCTTACAGTGACAGCTATGCATCATGCGCACAAGCCACCAACTAGGGGCTTTATGTCCCATAAAAAACCTCTGTGCTGTTTTGGCCCCCCTTTAACTAAGTCCGCTGGCTGACAGGAACAGATTGGATTTCATAAATGTAATGCATTTGTTAGTTTTATACAAATACAGAAGGAGGATTTAAGTCCAGTTTTATCTGCATCCCTGACCATAAAGTTTATAGGATGTCTGTACCAGACTTTGGAATTTGGGAGTTAAGTTTCTGAAAACTCGCAGCCTTGAATGGTAAATGTTCATCACAGAAGTATGTATCTGGCTATACACGTGAATTTCTTCATATACATTTACATTTTCTCATTTGGCAGACGCCAAAGTGACTTACAAGGGAGTGCCATCACTAAAGGGTCAGTGCAGTAGGAGATAGGTATACAGATTTTGGCAATTTTGAGCCGCACTCCCATTCCACTGACATTGAGTGACATGGCCACTAATCTACGTCTAATGCAGAGAAAATCAGAAAGTCAATAAAACTCAGTTCCTTCAACAACCACTTTTAAATGAGTGGGAGAATGAGGGGGAGAGAGAGAGAGAGAGAGAGAGAGAGAGAGAGAGAGAGAGAGAGAGATGTCATTTCAGTTTAATTGAGACTGTCACACACTGAATCCCGAGGCAGGAAACACTTAATAGGAGCCTTCCAGTTTATCCCCGTGCTTGATTGAATGAGCCGGATACGCTGGAAGTCGGCTGCATCTTCATTGTTACTGACGCACGGCAAATTTGTATGTGGGTGTGGTTAAGTGAGAGTGCTTCTACCCTTTTTTTGTTTTATTGGGCTTGTGAGGCGCAGCATTTTTTTGGGGGGGGAATACCCTCATATGTCCTAAACAAATATGTCTTTATAATTTGAAAAGAAAATCCAGATTGTTGTGGTCTGGATTGTGTATTTACTTTCAAGATGAGTTAGACATCTGAAAAGATGGCTGAGGAAGATGAGGAAGACATCCTGTGAGCATTTCATTTAGTGCTACCATGGCTTTTCATGCTGAATGAACCATGACCAGAGGCAATTAATTAAGTCTGTATGAGATTGTGATTAAAACTGGTTTACGTAAGAACGAAAAGGATGCAGTAAATTGTTTTGCAGATGTAATTTCATTATGTGATTCATTAAAGTAAGTGATCCAGTCTGATTATCATTTTGTCATGTATAAGGTCAGGTCATGCTGAACTGTATGTATATGTATGTAGGATCTATTTTTGCAGGGTGTACATCAAGCTGGAGAACCATCTGCTTCTGCAGTAGTTGGGCAAAAGTGTCTGAAAGAGACAGGGAAAGGGAAAAATGAGTGTGAGGAAATTTTGGAATAAAATAGTCTAAATAGAAATGAAAGAATTCTCATCATTTTTATCAACTGTTCCTGAAAACAGGGACAAATGCAACTCTCCTTGACCAATATTACAATTCTTATGTAAAGTTTTTCCCTTTCATAAGAACCACTCACCACTTTATATAAGGAGAGAACATCCTCTTGTAGAGAAATAAAATTAATGATGTCCTACCATGGCACCCAGTATGTCCTGTATTAAGGATATTGTGATTTGCCGTGTCACCCAAGCCATAAGGGTCAAGCCTCCATTTTTTTCTCTAACCCATATGTCGCCTTACAGTGTGACATAATGTAATTTCCTGGACAGCATGCGATCCTATCCCCTGCGCGTGTCATCGACTGTTACGAGCAAGGTCATTGTCAGCACCCTCGCTCTTCCTCCATACATGTCCTCATAAATTGTGATTGTCCGGCAAGACATTGACTCACCGGCAGGAAGATACCAGCACTCTAGATGATTAAAGCATTGGATTCCCCTGGATGTATGTACATACAGGCAGCTGAAGATCATCCTCTGTTATATCTACTGTTTCGATAATATTCCAGTATTTCTATTGGTCATCCAGTCTCTTAATAAGATTAGGACAGGTTAATTAAATCAATGAATTAAATGAAAAAACAATTAAAAATGTCTTAGTAGTTGTCAAGCCACCATGATTCTTCGGAGCAGCTTCAAATTCTCAGAAGCTCTGGCACTTCACTGGAGTGATGAACAGCATTTTTCTGAAAGACATCTTCTCATTGGTGTTTTGACGGTGGTGGAGAGCGTCATTACATGCCGTTTATTTTGTAGTGTTACGCGCAGCCTTGATTTGTCAGGTATTTCATTTGCTGGATTAGTCAAGATCAGACTCATAGCCTAACTAAGTAATGAGGTCAAACTGACTGGAGAGGAGAGAGCTTTGTGTTGGCATCTCTAAGACTCAGCTTGCCCACAGAATGCCCAGGACAAATTCAGCACCCTGGACATGATACAAATTTTATTTTTTCAATAGATTTTCTAGAAAATATACTATATCAAGATATATATTTATATCACATTATAAAATTACAGATAAGCAATAGGGGAATTCATTAATATTACTCACTTCTAGCCTTAGCTTATGATTCACATCATTTTAATACTGATCCAGCTGTTCAGTGAGCCCTTGTGCCCTGTATGGAAATCATCATGTTTTTTCTTTAATTTGTCCCCCAACTATACATCCGATATATGAGAAAGACATTTTAATGTCAATTGAATGTGTTTCAAAGGCTGAGAAAAATATCCTTGTTGTTAGCTTGACCACTATGTTTGAGTTCATCCAGTTATTTATTAAAAGGGTTTAATCAGTTTACGTATTAAATAAAGTTCACTTTTCACTTTTTTTCCATATTATATATATGATATATATATGATATATATATGATATATATATATATATATATATAATATACATTAAATATAAATGAAGTTAAAACAATGAAAACAGCCATGACAGCTATAACTTCTCAACAGGTGGAGGTCAAATGAATTATAACTCTGCTGGTTAATATAGATGTCACAAAACTTGCTTGACAGAGTGCAATCAATTTCTTTTTCACTGCCTGTAAGTGGCACAGTAAACACCACAGTAAACTGTTTATTACCCAAGGCTGTATAACAATGTGCAATGCTTACCTAACCACCATATTAGAACTCCACGTGGAAGATTTGAGATGCATCTTGTTTTTTTCAAGTGTGGTGTTGGTCAGGGGAGGTTCTCCCTTGACCTTCAGCTTGAAATCTACTACTCATCCAATTGACAGTTTACTCCACAGAGGGATGACTCACACTGATAGCACACACACGAGCCCACACACTTAGGCCTTATGTAACATTTTAAAGCAACTCCAACATGGATTTGTTCTTCTTGCACAATATTGATCATTGATGATTTTTCTGTCTATGTGTACATGAAAAGCTGATTCATTCATATTATTCCTGCTGTTATATATATATATTTTTTTTTTTAACATACTGAGATCTATTTTATTATTACAATTTTTTTGTGTACACCTTCTTTCTACATCTTTCTGGAGTGTTGGCATGTTATTTGCTAATTTAACAGGAAGTGAACAGCTCTCCAAAACTAGTTCAGGGGTTATCATGTCACTTTCTCGCCCTCAGGGTGTTGTTGTGTGCAGTGTAAGAGTGTATTTTGTTGTTTACAGGAAGGTGGTGATGCGTGAAACCAAACAGAATGTCCCATCTTCCTAGTATAAATAAAGCAAAACTAAAAGATATTTGTGTACAGTGAATAGGAAATAATATCAAGATTTACGGCATTCCCCAACTGACAGAGTGCCATGCTATTCCATCTTACAGGAGATGCTGTACAGCAGATCCAGCGGCTTCTGTTTTCCCCAGGAGTCCAGGCATGAAATGTGTCATGGAGCGTCATAATGAGTTGAGAGAAGTGGACATTCAGGCTGCATTTGATGTGGAGAAACTTAACAGTGGTGAATATGTGATAGTGTGAATCACTAGAGTTCAGTTCGACTCTCCAGTGAACAAACGCGACGTACTGCTGCCAACCTCTACTTTCAGCTCTTTTTTTCTAGCTACATAGTTACATATTTATCAATTCCAACATCAATAACAACGTCCGCCTTTCTCAGAATAGAAAGTCGAGTACACAAATGCCCACAAATGCCCATTTAATTATTTACATGTATCTTTTTTTTTTCTTTGTGACGGTCTTCACAGGTACTACAAGAGTTTCATGTATTTCTCTCATGAAAAATAATAATAGTCATGTTTTCCCTGTGGAAAGCCTGATAATATTTTCTATGTAGAGAGAGACTGTCTGTGATTAAGATGTACAACTGCAGCATCTTTCTTCTCAAAAGACAGTAGAGCATGATAAATCCTCATGGGCTTCACAGAGCTCTGATATTTCCATCACAGTTTTTCTCCCATGGCTACAAGGTAGAAATGGGTCAGGGGATCTTGATGTTTGCAGAGCTGTACATCTCAATAACTTCACACATGAACACTATCTGTTGCTGACTAAAAGCCAGTGATAAGACAATCTGAGAAACAGTTAGCTTGAGTAGGAAAGAGAACTGCGTGGTGTCTCCACAGCTGCGGTGAAACCGCGATGTTATGAAACTGTTGCCACTAATACATCACTTCTTCTTGTCACAATTAACAAAAGAGCTGCTGAATCCTGTTTTCATCGAGCCTCTGTTCTTCCTTACCACTATCTCTCACACCTTTCTCCATCTTTTAGTACAAACAAGTGGAGCAGTATATGTCCTTCCACAAACTACCGGCTGACTTCCGACAGAAAATCCATGACTACTACGAGCACAGATACCAAGGCAAGATGTTTGATGAAGAGAGCATCCTGGAGGAGCTTAATGAGCCTCTTCGTGAGGTAAGGAAAGACCCAAATGTCCACTATGTTCAGTCACTCATAAATGCATCCACATCTCAACTAACTGCTAAGTTCCAATCTCTTTATCGATTTATATATGAACTGTTTCTAGGCAGTCACTTAGATTTTGAAGTTTTTACCAGTCTTCACTGAAAAATAATCACATTTTAAGAGAAAGCAACAGATGGTTTTACAGTAATTTTCACATGGACTTCATACTCCCACATATCCTGAAGCTGTTTCTCCAGCTGCCTACTTGAGTTCACAGTAAACAATGTCTTCTTGCTTCAAGGGCAGCTCAAAGTAATTTGAGTTAACACAAAATAAACAAGAAAACTAGGGAGAAAACTCAAATGAGCTGTGCCACAGTCCCTCAAGGTAATTAAAAAAGAGTCTAACCTGAAGAGTGCTTGCTCCAAAAATAATGCTTTTATTACCGTCAGTTTTTAAAAAATATTCAACACAATCTGGCAAATTACTTTATCATATTTACAGATGAGACTGAAAATCACAAACTGTACCCATCATGCATGTACTCCACATCCATGACACCTTCATCATCAACAGTTGTATCATTGGTTTTGCTTTCTCAAATGCCAAGGGAATAAAAACAACACAAAAATAACCCTAACCCTAACCCTAACCCAAAACAAATAAAATCCTGTCCGCTGCCATTTAGGAAATCGTCAACTTCAACTGTCGTAAACTTGTGGCATCCATGCCACTGTTTGCCAATGCTGATCCCAACTTTGTCACCGCCATGCTGACCAAACTGAGATTTGAAGTCTTCCAGCCCGGAGACTACATCGTCAGAGAAGGTACCATCGGCAAGAAGATGTACTTCATCCAGCACGGGGTGGTCAGCGTCCTGACCAAAGGAAACATCGGCATGAAGCTGATGGACGGCTCCTACTTTGGAGGTTTGTTCTTTTCTATTCTATTCTATTCTATTCTGTGCTTCCAGGCAAGTATTATTTACTCTATAAATCCCAACAGAATCCACTGCAGTAATATCACAGATTGTGTTTACTATTTGAATAAAGCACAAAAGAAAAAAAAAACAACACCCTGACATTTTACTTGGACTTCTTGTACAGTCTTGCCTTACAGCCACTTCTGTCCCACTTTCCCAGGCTGTTGTTCCTCTGTGACTGTTTAAAAAAACATGTGGTGCCTCTGCCACCATCACCAACCATAAACCCACACAGACCTGCACCAACACACACCCACACACACTTATTAAAGTCTCATGGGTTGATGGTTTGGGCTGCATTCTTAACATCCGGTGCCCTCTGCAGCAGAACAGAGTTCACTGCCAGCAGCCCAGGGTGCTGTCGGAGTGGCATGGATGCATGGCACACACATGCATGCACACACGCATCACACGTACACACATCCAATTAATAACAGATAATTAGCACAGCAGAATGGTGATGACGGGGCCATTGGTAATGTCAAGCATAGACTGTTCAAAGCCCTCCCTGCCACCAGGGAGGAAATCGCAGGTCTCTCTTCATACACAGAACTGGCAGTGGGCTTGGATTGGAGAGACAGCATGGCTTAACCACTGCAGGAGTGTGTATTTGTGGTAAAATCTCTGAATTAGTAAGTAGCAGTAAGTAGATAGTGATGTCAGGCCAAACACTTCATTTTTTTTAAAGATTCAGCGGTTTTTAGATTAGTGATTGGAGAAAGTGTCACAGGTTTGATACATGCTACATGTTGACATCAGTATTTCCTGTCAGACAGTTTGAGTTAGATCATTTGGTGTTTAATGGGCATTATCTCCCATTTATGTTTCTTGGCCTGTATTATTGTCAAGTCATTCCACATTTCTGTACCCGTTTCTCAACGCCAAACCTTGGCTGGATTGGCTCCATTATTGTGTTAATACATTTAAAAAAAGACAGAGCTTTGTCATTTTGTTTCTATTGCTGTAAATGCAGCTGAGTCTGCAGCTTAGCCTTTTGGCCGTTTTCTCAAAATCGCTGTCTGGCAGAACAATATACCACTTGTCCTGCTGCAGCCATCACATCATTACTTAGCATTTCTCATAGAATAACTGCGTAATCCTAAATTGGATGTGTTGAAAATATTGCAAGGTTTTTTAACAGTTGCATATTCACCGAGTCTGAATGGTTTGTGGTGAAGCCCCTGTAACTTCTCTGAAGTGCCAAAGCTTTCACAATATCTTGCCTCAAAGTCCCTTTTGTTCCTTGTTATTGAAACTATTTATAGTGGATGCAAGTACAAATGGAAGGCTTTAGGAAGTTAAAGGGGCCCTCCAACAATTTACTATTGAGTGGCTTGTAAGAGACAGTTTAAGAAAAGAATAATCCATTATACAGCTGTTTTGACATTCTGAGTTTTACTCCCCATCATGAGAATTCTCCTCATAATATCTAAAATTGGTGGAGTTCCCCTTTAACTGACTGGATAAACAAAAGAGTGTCGCTAGATGGGTACTGACACTGAAGGAGCCTACCAGTGAACATATCGGGCATTAAACCTGAGAGGGAGAATTTTAGACATTATATATTAAACTAATGAGAACAGGAAACTGTGCAGCCCAGGCTAAAGGAAAGGGTTAAAGCAGTCATGATCCCACATAGAGCCAGGAATAAGCAAATAGCTGCTGAAATTCACTTTACCCATGCTGGATTCCTCTGTATTTGTCATCATATATGAGGATGACAGTTGCCCTATCCACTACAAATGATTACCCAGTGGTTTTGAACAGATTTTAATGCAGCCTCAGTGGTTTCATTAGGGTTATTATCCTCTCTAAGCACTTACCACTGTACTGTAATGATGTCAGAAATATGCAAATCCTTGTGTTCTGTATAACCAGGAAGACGCAAAGAGACACTTTATGAAGGGACATCTGTAGCATTTTGTTTTACTCCCGTAAAACTGGAATTAAAATGTTAACCTTCATTTTTCATGCATAACAAAACTCAACTTCAGGAAAGTTGTTTTTAGTAAAGATGCCTCTTTTTTTGACCAGATTATATGTAATGAATTACCAAATCATTCATCAATAGACAGACTCATGGTATGACTTTTACTTCCATTAAAGTAGCTGACCGTGAGCAGTCTAACCACTAACCTACAGTAAGCACAGTGACGTCTGTGTCTATCTGTGAAAGCTATTAATTATTAAGCAACTGGGGAAAAATAAATCCTCTATCAGATAGGTGGAAAACACAGTCACAGTCCAAGGTCACACTTAAATAATCTGTGAATAAAACTCTACTGTGTGTAGTTAGTGAATGTATGTTGGTTTATGTGAATGTGCGCATGGTATGCATCTAATGTATAGACAGAGCACATGTGTTTATATGTAAGGGAAGACACTTTTAATAAAAAGAACCATTTTACATTTTGGGAAAGATAGTTATTCACATTCTTTTTTTACAGCTACAGCCAGCAGCCAGTTACCTTAGCTTAGCATAAAGACTGGAAAGGGTGAACCTAGCTCTGTCAAAAGATAACAAAAATCTGCCAATAGCACCTCTAAAGCTCACTAAATAAGATTTTTCCTTTCTTGTAATTTGTTCTGAAACCAACGTGCAAAATATCTTATGTTGAGACTTGTCATCATGAGTTGGTGAGATGACCAGTGGCGATCCCCTGAAGAGACACTGAAGAGACTGAACTGACTGTGCCTGTCTTTGGACTGCGAGAGGAAGATATAGTAGCTGGAGAGCAAACATACAGGCACAGGGAGAACATGCAAACTCCACACAGAAAGGCCCAAGGCCCAGGTTTTGAACCCAGAACTGTCTCAATGTAAAATGACGGTTCTGACCACTGCACCACCGTGCCAAAGCGTAAAAAAGGCATAGCATAGCAATGCAACAAAATGTCAAAAAACGTCACAGTATAGTAAAACATGAACACGTCAAAGAATGTCATAGAATAAAAAGGCATACAAGTGAAAAGTCATATTGTCATAAGACATAAAACGTCATGTTATAGTGAGGCAAAAGAAGTCATAAAATGTCATAGTATACTAAGTCATGAAAACATCAAAAAACATCATAGTATAGTATGGCATAAAACGTCAAAAAATGTAACAATAATTTCAGTCATAAAAATGTCAAAAAACGTCATACTGTAGTTAAGCATAAAAACGGCAGAAACCATAATAGTAAAATAAGGCATAAAACGTCATAGTAAAGTGAGGCAGAAAAAGTCATAAAATGTCATAGCTTACTAAGGCATAAAAACATAAAAAACGTCATAGGATGGGTAGACATAATAATGTCATGATATAGTGAGGCATAAAAACATCAAAAAATGTCATAGTATAGTAAGGCATAAAAGCATCAAAAAACATCATAGTATAGTATGGCATAAAATGTCAAAAAATGTCATATTACAATAAGGCATGAAAACATCAAAAAATGTCATAATATAGGTAAACATAATAATGTCATGGTATAGTGAGGAAAAAAAACATCAAAAAATGTAATAGTATAGTGAGGCATAAAAACATCAAAAAACGTCATAGTATACTATGGCATAAAATGTCAAAAAATGTCATATTACAATGAGGCATAAAAACATCAAAAAACATCATAATATAGGTAGACATAATAATGTCATGGTATAGCAAGGCATAAAAACTTCAAAAAAAGTCATAGAATAGCAAGGCATAAAAGCATCAAAAAACATCATAGTATAGTATGGCATAAAATGTCAAAAAATGTCATATTACAATGAGGCATAAAAACATCAAAAAACATCATAATATAGGTAGACATAATAATGTCATGGTATAGCAAGGCATAAAAACTTCAAAAAAAGTCATAGAATAGTAAGGCATAAAAACATGAAAAAACGTCATAGTATACTATGGCATAAAATGTAAAAAAATGTCATATTACAATGAGGCATAAAAACATAAAGAAACGTCACAGTATGAGAAGACACAAGAATGTCATGATATAGTGAGGCCTAAAAACGTACATACAATAGTAACATAAAATGTTATAATTTAGCAAGGCATAAAAACATCAAAAAACGTCATAGAATAGCGAGGCATAAAAACACCAAAAAACATCATAGTATACTATGGCATAAAATGTCAAAAAATGTCATATTACAATGAGGCATAATAACATCAAAAAACGTCATAATATAGGTAGACATAATAGTGTCATGGTATAGTAAGGCATAAAAACATCAAAAAACGTCATAGTATAGTATGGCATAAAATGTCAAAAAATGTCATATTACAATGAGGCATAAAAACATCAAAAAACGTCATAATATAGGTAGACATAATAGTGTCATGGTATAGCAAGGCATAAAAACGTCAAAAAATGTCATACTATGTATACTATACTATGGCATAAAATGTCAAAAAATGTCATATTACAATGAGGCATAAAAACATCGAAAAACGTCATAATATACGTAGACATTATAGTGTCATGGTATAGTAAGGCATAAAAACATCAAAAAACGTCATACTATAGTATGGCATAAAATGTCAAAAAATGTCATATTACAATGAGGCATAAAAACATCAAAAAACGTCATAATATAGGTAGACATAATAGTGTCATGGTATAGTGAGGCATAAAAACATCAAAAAACGTCATAGAATAGCAAGGCATAAAAACATCAAAAAACGTCATAGTATACTATGGCATAAAATGTCAAAAAATGTCATATTACAATGAGGCATAAAAACATCAAAAAACATCATAATATAGGTAGACATAATAGTGTCATGGTATAGTGAGGCATAAAAACATGAAAAAACGTCATAGTATACTATGGCATAAAATGTCAAAAAATGTCATATTACAATGAGGCATAAAAACATAAAGAAACGTCACAGTATGAGAAGACACAAGAATGTCATGGTATAGTGAGGCATAAAAACATCAAAAAACGTCATAGTATA